AATAATGATAACTAACTGTAATATAATAAGTTTATGCAACCACATTGTACACAAATCCATCGACCGTCTAATTGAKAGTCAACGCACTTGTACCATGAAACATAATCAAAGAAGTAGTATCTATTTATTTTTATTTACTGACTAATATTGTATGTAATAGTAGATATCACTGAACCAGAACAATTCTTAAAAACAAAAGAGACTTGGAAGCTAAACAACGTTATTAAGAGCTACCTAATGAGAGGAAGGAGGATTTTACACCAAGATGTCGGGACGGGACGTGTTARATGTAAGCATCATGGCAAATGATGTGTATATGTGTGTATATATGAAATGCGGCCTAATGCGTACCTAAGCGCGAAGAGGCGAGGTGAGGGTGAGGTACATATGGAAAATAAGAGGATGTTCGATCACATAACACTCCAAATAAAATATACGGATGCCGTTCACATGAAATAAAATTGTGCCGTTGTCAAGTCTCTTGTTTATTGCCATTTGCTTTCATGAATTGTTCTGGCTCAGTGATATCTATAATATTAGTGACACTGGTGAAAAACGCACTGCGCATGCCCACAGCTTTCCCGCCAGTGGGCGCTCGCGTCTTGAAATCTGTAAACAGAGCGCCTGACGATTTACAGCGACAACACAGAAAACACTACTAAAAACCTCATTTTCTCAAAATAGAAATAACAAGATAAAAATAGAAACTACATACTAAAAGAACATATCATGAACAATGATTGATGGAAATATGAATCTTATATATCCGTGAACGAGCTTATAAATTGTAAAAAACTTTCACAAAAATCGCTTTACAAANTACTCTGGAACAGGATCAGGGTTTTGACGTCCTAGCGGCACACCCCCACCCAAGTTTGGGGGGAGTACCCCCCCGGGCTCGGAACTAGTGCAAGCCAGGAAGTTTTGGAAAACTCACTAGAAAATATGACCGACGAAGAAATATATCAAATCTTGACTTTTTCCGGTTTTGAAAATCGATTCCAAGACTTGATTCAGGTCTTAATTTTCATTTGCAAGACCTGGTTCAAGCTTTAGTCAGCCCCAATCTCCCTTGATGATAATGCCGCCCCCAGCTTTTAGAATGCGAGTTTTACCTAAAATACCAAAACCGATTAAAAACAATAATTAACAATTAATATCATTAATAATTCATAAGTTACATAGCCACTCAGTGACCGCCATTGGAGTCACATGACTACCCTTGTTTTAACCAATACAAACTTAAAGCGCGAGGAATTCAAAGCAGGGAAAGGTTTGGGTTGATGAATAATAACAATAGAGAATGAGAACATTTATTAGTGCTTTCGACTATAGATCTCAGCTCCTTTACGCGTCTTTCCTGCCTTACAACCTTTCCCCCGTCTATTCCGCCATTTTGTTCCATCTACCTAGTACCCAGTCCCACTCTTCATACACGCCCACGGACACATCCCCTATCACGTGTCTTTGCCACAGGCCCCCCACCAACCATGTTTTCACCACAATTACACCCGATATCCCTCTCACTCATAACTCTGCGGTTATCTTATCTCATACTCTCCGACACTCCCCATTCCCAGCATATTTCTTCCTCGGATACCCTCTTTTCTTACTCTGTTAGATTATGGAAGGATCCTCAATACGCCTAGCTAAGCAACTCGTTTCCGGACGCTAAACCATTAATCCTACAAGTAAGTACCTTGCCCCCTTACCCTTTAGCCACAACTCCCCCGCCTCCCAATTAAGTCATTAACCCTAACCACCACACGTGTCGATCTCGCCGTAGGCCCTTGCATCGTGTAGGGCTGAGCAATTTCAAGACGTCTTTATTGCATTGAAACACGAAGTTTTACTCTGTCTACCGTCTCAGCTCCTGACGATTTACGTTAGACAGTGCAACGGGCCTCCCTCCTTCCCCTTTTCGCTATTCCGTTCCTTCCTTCCCCGAGATCGCCACGTGTCATCCATTGAGCTCAATACCCGCGCGTCCCCCCTCTTTCTTTTTATCTCTACTCTCCGCTCTATTATTTATCGTTTTTTTACCTCCTTTTTCTCTTTTCTCTTACCACTTATCCACATACCATCTACCCCACTCATCTTTTGTTCATCCTTTCTCCTCTACTCTCCCCTATATAGCTCCTTACTCCTTCCTCTCTTACTTTCACTTAACGGTTATCTTACCATCCATTTATTCACCCATGTCATTATTCTTATCTCCCACTTCAGTATCCTTTCCCTGTAATTATATCCTCTACTCATCCTAATGTCTTCATCAGCTTCTATTTCCATGTTTCCTCCATGCACGACATACAAGCCCTTTTGTCCATTATCTATTCACACATTCATTAAAAAGTCACTTCATCTTCCCTCTTTCATTGACCTACTTGCACAGACAAATTATCACCTACACATACAATCTATCACCGACACAGAAAAAATCTATCACCGACACAAAAAATAGAAAAAATCTATCACCGACACAATCTATCACCGACACAGAAAAAATCTATCACCGACACAAAAAATTACCAAATTATAAAATTATCATACTGGTTAATGGTTTGTTGAGTTTTTCAAATTAAAGTTAGATGTTATCCCCCCCGGCTCTCCTTTTTTGATTTACTTGGACATTGCCCCCCCTCTTTCAAGTCATAAGTTTAGACTATGCACCGCCTGTGAAGATCAACCCCCCTTCCTGGTTATTATTGCACAGCCCCTATAAGCACACGTAACGATTGCTATGCTAATGAAACAATGAAAACAGTCCCATAACTTTTCATAGTTTTGTTCTCATTATGCTCATGCTCATGCTTATCGCTATGCTATCCAGAATTGCTAACTTTACACGGACAAGCAAACTGATGATTCAAAATCAGTGCTGTAGAGCTGTAGATATTAT